GCGCCACGGCGGAACGTGCCAGGGAGCGTGCCAGGCGGCGCACCAGGGAACGTGCCAGGGAACGTGCCACGGGACGCCCCTGACCGAGGGCAAGGGTCCCTCGTAAGTTACGCTGCGTCCGCGCTCCCAGGGCCACGCTCCCTGGTAATCACATTGTGTCCGCGCTCCCAGCGTCACGATCCCTCCTAGATTACATTGCGCCCGCTCGCACAGGGCCGCGACCCCTCGCAAACTGGACTGCGTCCGCGCTCCCAGGGCCGCGATCCCTCGTGCGCTACGCTGCGTCCGCACTCCCAGGGCCACGTTTGTCCCAATCTATTACGTGTCAGGGCCAGGATCCTTGGTAAATTACGCTGCGTCCGCGCTCCCAGGGCCACGACCCCTCCAAACTTACGCTGCGTCCGCTCCTCCTGGGCCACGATCCCCTCGTAAACTCCGCTGCGTCCGCGCTCCCAGGGCCGCGCTCCCCGGGTGAATTGCGTCGTGTCCGCGCTCCCAGGGCTACGCTCTCTAGTACATTACGCGTGTCCGCGCTCCAGGACCGCCTGGGCACCCCGGCGCGCTCCGGCCGCTCAAGTTCTGCAAACCAGGCGGTTCGCTCGAGACGTCCTCAGATCTTCGGCGCGCGGGGCGCGCCATCCTCCAGCGGGCACGCAACATATCTACCTGTTTCCATTCTCTTGGCACATGGGGGAATCTCCAGACTTGGTGCTTGATCGTGGATTCTGCGCAAAACGCCTCGCATGTTTTCATGTACAAGGGGGGGCGTGTGTCTGCAGGCCCCGTTATTTACCGAGGATCCGAGATAAGGGGGCACATTGCCATCGAGCGGGCACGCGCGAAACACACTTAACACACAAACGTGATCGACCCACGAACCCAGAAAGGAATGTAACCATGTAAGGCATGGTGACGTTTTCAAGGCACCTGATTGGGCGACGGGCATTTGCAATGCTGAGTGTATCGATTTCGATGTACTGCTAAGGGCTGTGCTATGCTGCGCCGTGCTGAATTGCGATGTGACTTGCCGCGATGTTGTTCTGTAGCGCTGTGGATGGAGTCCTCCTTTGCGAGTCCTGACCGAACGGGTCTTGATCTTAAGCTCGAGCTGCCTGAGCACATAGTAGCTGCTCCAGAGCTAATTGGCAGGGGGACATGCCAGGGGGACGCGCTACGGAACGTGCCAATGGTCCTGCCACGGGACGTGCCAGGGGACGCGCCGAGCGACGTGCCAGGGGGACTCGCCACGGGACGCGCCACGGCGGAACGTGCCAGGGAGCGTGCCAGGCGGCGCACCAGGGAACGTGCCAGGGAACGTGCCACGGGACGTCCCTGACCGAGGGCAAGGGTCCCTCGTAAGTTACGCTGCGTCCGCGCTCCCAGGGCCACGATCCCTGGTAAGTTACGCTGCGTCCGCGCTCCCAGCGCCACGATCCCTCCTAGATTACATTGCGGCCGCCCTGCCTGGACCACGAACACTGCGTCCGCGCCCCCACGGCCGCGCTCCCTCGTGAGTTACGCTGTGTCCGCGCTCCCAGGACCATGTTCCCTAGTACATTGCTTTGTGCCCGCCCCTCCAGGGCCACGATCCTTTGTAAATTACGCTGCGTCCGCGCTCCCAGGGCCACGACCCACAGCAAATTACACTGCGTCCGCGCTCCCAGGGCCTTGATCCCTTGTAAATGACTCTGCGTCCGCTCCCCGGGGCCGCGATCCCTCGTGAACTGCGGGGCGTCCGCTCCCCCAGGGCCAAGATCCATCGTACACTACGTTGCGCCCGCGCTCCCAGAGCCGCGCTCCCTTGCGAATTACGCTGTGCTGGCACTCCCAGGGCCGGGAGCTCTCGTGGCGCACCCAGCCGTGGCCACGCGGGCGGCTTTCTCTGTTGTCCCCCAGCGATGACGGCAGTGATCGGGGAAAGTGGGGGAGGGGGGAGGGGGCCAGTAACCCAAAGACACCCGGCCGCTCCCGTGTTTTCGATGCCTGCGCCCCGGAGGTCTGCACCACGTCCCTAGGGGGTCGGCCTCTCGTGCTGGCTCGCTCTCGGAAGGCCCCGGGGGCCCCGCGAGGGCCCCCGGAGGCCGAGAACGGCGAGAAGCCTGCCGCCCCAGCTCTCTCGGAGCGTCGGATCTCTCGGAGCGTCACAGTTCGCGCCGGCAGCGCCTCGGAACGCACAGAAATTTCTAACTTAATTGCCGGACGGGGCCGGCCCAACTCTTGCTGTCGCCAGGGCATGGGAGGGGGGGGGGGGGGGGGACGGCGGGGCCGGCTAACGGGCGGCGTCGCGAGTGCTAGAAACATTGTTCCTGGAGTGGCAAGATCTCAAGCGATCGCAAACATGGATCCGGGGGGCGTGGATCAGCGACGGGTCCCGCTTCCGTGCGGAAGTCGCGGACGTCCGCCGCCGAGCGAGGCGGCGCCGGCCGCATTTCGCGGAGGGCACCTCCTCCGATCCATGGACTTGGCGCCCGCGCGCCAGATCCATGGATCGCCAATCCATGTCTGCGCGCCCCCGAAGGTCGTCCCAGCGCCTCGACCCTCGACCCTCGAGCCTCGATTCGAGGAGGGGGGTCTGGGACCGCTGCCCCGCCCGTGGAACGGGGGGCTGGCCGCGGGGACGGCGGGGGAGGAGGTGGATTTGGAGGAGAAGGGCGACGAGGATGAGGCTCTAGGTCGTACTGCTCGTTAAGCTGCTGTCGTAGAGTCGCAGATCGCAGATCGCAGTAGGATGATGATGATGATGATGATGATGATGCTGACGACGATGATGATGATGATGATGATGATGATGATGATGATGATGATGATGATGATGATGATGATGCTGATGATGATGATGCTGATGCTGCTGATGATGATGATGGTGATGGTGATGATGGTGATGGTGATGGTGATGATGGTGATGATGATGCTGATGATGGTGATGGTGATGGTGATGGTGATGGTGATGGTGATGATGATGATGATGATGATGACGATGATGATGCTGATGATGATGATGATGCTGATGCTGATGCTGATGATGACGATGATGATGATGATGATGATGATGATGATGATGATGCTAATGATGATGATGATGATGCCGATGCCGATGCTGATGCAGATGCTGATGCTGATGCTGATGCTGATGCTGATGCTGCTGCTGCTGCTGATGATGATGATGATGATGATGATGATGATGATGATGCTGATGCTGATGATGATGATGATGATGATGATGAGGAGGAGGAGGAGGAGGAGGAGGAGGAGGAGGAGTGGAAGCAGCAGGGAGAGGAGACACTTGGGGAGGAGGACGATAGAAGGAATACGAGGAGGAGCAGGAGCAGCAGGATCAGCAGCAGGAGCAGGAGGAGGAGGAAGGAGGAGGAGGAGGAGGAGGAGGAGGAGGAGGAGGTATTGGAGCAGGTGGCGGAGGAGGTGGAGGACTAATTGGAGTAGGAGGAGGAGGAAGAAGAAGAAGAAGAGAAATAAGAGCAGGTGGAGGTGAGGTGAGCAGTGGCCTGAAGGCGCAGCACCCCGCCGCAGTGGTTCCCAGCGGGGCCCCGAGCCCGCTGAGCAGACAGCGAACCGCCCCCCCGACCCGGAGGAGACGAGGACGATGGCACGGGGACGCGGCAGAGGAAGGCACAGCGAGCGGAGGAGGAGGAGGAGGAGGAGGAGGAGGAGGAGGAGGAGGAGGAGGAGGAGGAGGCGGAGGAGGAGGAGGAGGAGGAGGAGGAGGAGGAGGAGGAGGAGGAGAGAGGGAGGGGCGGTCCCTCGCCTACCCAGGGGCGTGTGGCCCAATAGGGGACTGGAACGGAGGCCGTCCAGAGATTCGGAGCTGCTCGGGGGCTCAGATAGTCGGAGCCCGGCGAGCCGCCCCCACCCTCGGCTCGCTGGCAAGGGCGCCGCACGCGGTCTCGCACAGAGGGCAGATAATATCTGCGCGAGCGGAGGACAAGGGAGGAGGAGGAAGAGGAGGAGGAGGACGAGGAGGAGGAGGAGGAGGAGGAGGAGGAGGAGGAGAAGGGGAGGAGGAGGAGGAGGAGGAGGAGGAGGAGGAGGAGGAGGAGGAGGAGGAGGAGGAGGAGAAGGGGAGGAGGAGGAGGAGGAGGAGGAGGAGGAGGAGGAGGAGGAGGAGGAGGAGGAGGTCGACAGATAATTCGGGCAGGCCGTAGAAAAGCAGAAGATTTGCTTCAGGCTGCTGTGGGCCAGTCGCACTGTCTCGGCTGGTCGCCGGGGCCGTCCTCCTGCCCGCGCCTCTCCCGACACCGGGGTCCAAGCGTTGCCTCTCCGCCCACGGGGTGGCCTCCGCAGGGGCCAGGCTGATGCGCCCGCCGTGCCTGGGGTGCGGATGCTCCCCTTGGCGGAGGTTCCGAAGTCTCTCCTGTACACTCGGGTTGTTCCCCTGCCCCTTGCACCGCTCTTGGGTGCATTTCCCGGGGCACGGTCCCGAAGAATGTGCAGCACAATAGATGCAGGAAGCTGAGCTGTGGCCCTGCTGTTGTTCGAGCCGCGCTTGAATGAAAGCGTACCCGCCGCACTTGAAGGCAGCAGGAAGATGAAGACGCCAACGACCGGCCCACCCTACTGGGGAATGACCCCTCACATTCTTCCGCCTCGCGGTGCCGACCCGTTCGTCATGGCGATCCCTTCCTCTCCCTCCGCGTGGTCGAGAGTTCAATCTGGTGGTTCCGCAGCTGCTTCCGCCGCCGCCTCAGCTCCGTTGACCGCGCCGAGTAGGAGGGGCAGGAGGAGGAGGAAGAGGAGGAGGAGGAGGAGGACCAGAAGCAGGAGCAGGAGCAGCAGGAGGAGGTGCAGTAGGAGGAGCAGCAGGAGGAGGAGCAGCAGGAGGAGGACGAGGGGAAGAGGACGAGGAGGAGGACGGGGAGGAGAACCAGAAAGAGTAATTGAAGAAGGAGGAGGAGGAGGAGGAGGAGGAGGAGGAGGAGGAGGAGGAGGAGCACCACGAGGAGGAGGCGCTGCGCCCAAAAACAGACGCGGGCCGCCACCCGAAGGGGCGACCTGAAGCGCGAGCAGACGCTCTCCGGAGAGGCGCCGCGCCGCGCGCCGCGCCCGCGCCCCTGGGGCCCCTGGCACTAAAATAGGGGAATACAAAGTGACATAGACATAACAACTCGGAGGTCCGCGCGGATTTCTCGCATCGGCGCTGGGGCCCCCCGGCGGCGCCTCCGGCGCCGCCCCTGGCGCGTTCCGCGCGCCAGGGAGGGGGGTCCAGCGCCGATCCGTGAAATCCGCGCGGACCTCTAAAATTTTATGTTTGTGTCACTTTTTGTTCCCCTAGAGAATGAAGTCAGGCGTGTCCCTCTACAGGAGGAATATTCAAGCACAGTCAAGAACTAGTCTGAGGACGATGTTTGTTACGTTTTGGCTCCATTTTCGATTGTTTCTTCAATTCTTTATAAATCCGCCTGTCGGAGGACATGCCCGACCTAACCCTGGGGCCACTGGCACTTGAAAATCCAGGGTTCGCTAGGGATTGGTTTCCTTTCAAAAGAACCAAAACCCTCCCGAAGCCCTCCGAGATCCCTCCGGGAAGGGTTCTGGGAGGGTTTCCGGAGGGTTTCGGGAGGGTTTTGGAAGGGTATTCGTTTTGGTGGGAAACTTATGGCGAACCCTGGTACCTCCCGGCGCCTCGAGGAACGATGCAGGACACGGGGGTCAGTGTAGGCGGGGATCAGCCAGAGCGCTAGGTCTTGCAGGATCCTGTAGAACCAGGGGTGCATTGACCTGGGCTAATTTGCGCGTGTGGTCCTGCAGGATCTTGTGAGTAGGGCTGAGGGGTTCAGAGAGTTCCTTCCTCTGCAGGGCCGCCGAAAGTTTTGACGTCAAGGTGGCCAAACACCTCGCCAGTTAGGCCGACGAGAGATGTTCGGGTTGACCCAAAAGGGGGTCCAGTGACAAGGGGGTGGTGCAATAGATTGGGTGCAATAGATTTATGGGGTTGCAATACATTTGGGGCGTGCAGTACATTCCGGGGCGCAAATGTATTGCTGGCTTTTCGCGTGCAATACATTGCATGCAATACAATGCAATACAATTCTCCAGCGCAATACATTTGCAATACAATTGCCCCAAATCTATTGCACCACCCCCTTCAGCTGGACCCCCTTTTGGGTCACCCAAAGGTGCAACATCCGGGGGTCAGCCAGAGCTCGAAGACCAAAAGGCGGCACGCATACAAACTTTCGACGGCCCGCGCGGATCTCCCGGATCCGCGCTGGGCCTCCCTAGCGGCGCCTCCCGCGCCGACCCGGGCGCGCTCCGCGCGCCAGGGAGGGGGGCTCCAGCGCGGACACGCGAAGTGTGCGCAGACCGTCGAAAGGTCAGTTTATGCCGTTTTTAGGAAACGCCCCGACAAAGTAGTGCAGCATCAAACGGACAGCACGGGAACCACCATAATGCGCCTGAATGCGGCACAGCGTCAGACGGACAACACGGGAATCAGCACTACGCGCCCTATAGGCATCCCCTTCTGTGTTTTTCCCTGCTTGCAGGTCACGCCCACTTGTCCTCCAAGGTCGGGGTTCGTGGCAATATCAGGTGCCGTTTTTAGGTCGTCTGAGAGCGCCAGATCTTGCGTGATCCTGCAGAGCAAGGGGTGCGTCGACCCAGGCTGACGCGCATGATCCTGGAGGATCCTGCAGGATCCTGCAAAGCCCGACCGACTTGGGTTTGGATTTGGCCCGGGGTCAGTCGATCCCCGAGAGGACGCATCGAGACCGAAGTTTTTGGTCGCAGTTTTCGGCCTGCTGGGATCGGCGCGGGGGGGGGCCCAGCTTGGGATGCAAGTCCTGAGAGGTCAAATTCTGATTTTGCACTGGTCCGAAGTCCGGCTGAATCTGGCTTAGTCCCGTTTCAACCAGCTTGATTCCCGCTTGATCCCGCTTAATCCGGCTTAATCCGAGGCCCATTCCGGCGCAATAGCTCCCAGATGGGGCTTAATCCTTTTTAGTATTTCCGACGAAAACCTCCCAGTAGTTGCCTCCTAACCCAGGGGAAGGGTCTCTGGGCATGGAGGTCTTCGGCCGGTTTCGCCGCAGCTCGGCAGGTGTCCAGCCTCGGGATGCTTTCCAGCAGCCGAGAGCGCTCCAGGCTTGCCCGGATCGTTCTGTGGCGGCCGGGGTGATGGCCCGCAAGCCACCTGGGACGGGCGTTCTGGGATCGGCGCGCGGGGCTGCTCATTCCCTGACCTTCCAGAGAGCTTTTTTTTAGCACGGGAGGCCTAAAAACCTAAAACACAAAACGAAACAGCCTAAAACCAAGACATATAATAGCTCTGGGATAGGTTTTTAAGTCGCGTGCTATTTTTTAGCCCTCCTGGAAGGTCAGGGTTGGACAGGGCGTATGTTTATGGGTGCCAGGGTGGGTCATGTGTGGCCCAGCCTGGCTCATGAGTGGGTTGCACACGCCCCAAGTTGCTCGGGGAGGTTGCCGACTCGGGGCTCCGCCCACGTGGCGGAGTGAGATCGGCTCCCCCCGGGGCCCCTCGGGGCATCTGCAGCGTAGGTCCGGCCAGGAACCCATGCCTCCTGCACGGGGAGGCTGCAATGCTCGAGGGAGCGAGGGCGCGAGGATCGAGGGCGCCCTCGTAAGTTCCCCGAGGCTTCCCATCCTCGGGATGCTTCTCTCGGGGGCCCCCAAACGGTGCGGTGACCACACCGTGCGGTGAGTCGGTGGGGATTCGGGGTCACCGCACGGTGTTGGGACTCGGGCCGCTCTCCGAGGACGTCTTGGGCGACGGGGGCCTCCGAGGTCCGAAGACCGTGCGGTGACGGACCGTGCGGCGAGGTCTTTGGGGGATCCCGCGGCCACCGCACGGTCTGTCACCGCACGGTCTTCGGCACTCGCCAGTGCTCTGCCGCTGCGCCTCGCCGCGAGCGCTCCCGTGGCGGGTCCGCTGCGGCCCTCGTCGGCCGCCAGAGGCCCGAGCTTGAGAGCCGGAAGCCGGGCCTCCTCGCGTCGTGGAAGGAGCGGCGGCAACGACGGCGTTGGCCGCGGGCGCGGTGGCGGCGGCGTTGGCGACGACGGGGACAGAAGGGGCGAGGAGGAGTACAAGGATGGAGAGGGAGAGGACGGGGGGCTACGAGGGACGGGGAGCGGGCGAGGGAGACGATGAGGTGGAGGAGGGGGGGGATGAGGGGGGGGGGGCGAGGGACGACTGGGAGGACGACGGTCCGCAGGAGCGAGACGGGAGGCGGGAGGCTTTGGGTTGTTTTCGGCCTCCGGGGGCCCACACCCGGCCGGCCACAGGACTGGAAGAAAGTACGGCAAGCCCACGATCTCTATACATAGAGAACAAGCCTCCGAGCTTCTGCCGGACACACCCCCGAACAAGAGCCGAACCGCCCCTCGGACTTCTTCCGGACAGACCCCCGAGCGGGAAGCGAACAAATCCCCCGGACTTTGCCGAGCAAGGCCCCCCGATTTCTACCGCACAAGCCCCCGGACCTCGAAGGTCGAAGAAGCCTCTCACAAGCTACCGAATTGCCTCGAAGGAAGACAACAGCTTGAAGATCCTGAAGTGTGCCACAACATTGTTCTCGGGATTTCAACTCCACGTGTCAACCTGACTGCTGCGTCTTGACGATCCGGAATCGCGCCAGAACGCCATGTTTGGGACTCCGACACCGCGAATCAACATAACTGTTGCGCCCGCATAGTCCTGAATCCTCCCAAAACGCGACTTCTGGTAAACCAATCATGGGAATCCGTGAAACTCTTGCAAATGTTTAAGAAGGAATGTGCGCGGCGCTGTGGCGAGAGCCACATTTCGAAGACGACCCGCCCTCAATCCGTGAAGCTCTTGCACATGTTTAGAACGAATGTACGCGGCGCTAGAGCGAGAGCCACATTTCGAAGACGACCCGCCCTCAGCCCATGAAATTTTTGCAACTGTTTGAAACGAATGTGCGCGGCGCCACATTTCGAAAAGGAGCCGCCCTCAATCCGTGAAGCTCTTGCAAAGGTTTAGAGCGAATGTGCGCGGCACTGAGGCGAGAGCCATCTTTTGAAAACGGCCCGCCCTCAATCCGTGAAACTCTCGCACATTTTGAAAAAACGAATGTGCGCGGCGCTGAGGCGAGAGCCACATTTTGAAAACCACCCGCCCTCAATCCATGAAGCCCTTGCAAATGTTAAAAAACGAATATGCGCGGCGCTAAGGCGAGAACCCACATGTTGAAAACGACCCGCTCTCCATCCGTGAAATGTTTACCACGTCTTAAGCTTCAGAGTCATAGATGGCGAGGAAGTCTCAGGCGAAACGCCCGGCCCGCCCGAGAAACTGGCTTCGGGGTGCGACAGGGAGAAGTTGCTTATAAGAAGAAGGAATGGAGGAGGATGAGGATCAGGAGGAGGAGGAGGAGGAGGAGGAGGAGGAGGAGCAAGAGGAGCAGGAGGAGCAGGAGGAGCAGGAGGAGGAGGAGGAAAAGGAAGAGGAGGAGGAGGAGGAGCAGAAGGAGCAGGAGGAGCAGGAGGAGCAGGAGGAGCCGGAGGAGGAGGAGGAGGAGGAGGAGGAGTGAGGAGGAGGAGGAGGAGGGAGGAGGAGGAGGAGGAGGAGGAGGAGGAGGAGGAGCAGAAGCAGGAGGAGGAGGAGGAGGAGGAGCAGAAGCAGGAGGAGGAGGAGCAGAAGGAGGAGGAGGAGGAGGAGGAGGAGAAGGAGGAGGAGGAGGAGCAGGAGGAGGAGGAGGAGGAGGAGGGAGGAGGAGAAGGAGGAGGAGGAGGAGGAGGAGGAGGAGCAGGCTGCCCCAGGGCAGGGCTCGGGGAGCTCCGTGGGGGTGCGCAGCGCGCAGTCGTGTCGGGCGTCGGAGATCTGGGCGCGGTGGCCGCGAGCAGGCCCCGGGGCCAGGTGGCACCGAGCGGCCCAGCGGCCGCGCTCGACGGGTGCCCTCGGGGTGCTCAGCGGGTGCCTTTTTGGGTACCTGCGGGGTGCTCATCGGGGTGCCCTTCGGGCGCCCTTTGGGGTGCTCAGCGGGTGCCTTCTCGGGAGCCCTCGGGGTGCCCCTCCGAGGACAGCTACGAAGCAGCTCAGGGCATTCGGAGGGCGTTGAACGCACGAGATCTCTCGGCGTCTTTGGGTCCAGCGGCAAGGGGTGGTGCAATAGATTTGGTGCAATAGACATGCGGGGTTGCAATGCATTTGGGGCGTGCAATATTCTGGGACGCAGATGTATTGCTGGGTTCTCCGCGTGCAGCGCAGTGCTTGCAATACAGTGCAATACAATTCTCTGGCGCAATGAATTTGCAAAACAAATTCCCAAAATCTATTGCACCACCCCCTTTCAGCTGGACCCCCTTTTGGGTCACCCAAAAAGTAGTGTGATGGGTCGGGTCTCCACCACCACTGCCATAGGTGGGACGGGGGAGAAGGGGGGATGTGGAGGTCCTCCTCCTCCTCCTCCTCCTCCTCCTCCTCCCTCCTATGGCAGTGGGGGTGCATGCCCCAAAACGCCCTGCTTGCCTCCAGGGTCCCAGGGTTTCTTGGGGTTTGATGGTTTTTGCGACGGAGGGCGGGTCGTTCCCACGCCGCCAGAAATCCATGAACGTCCCGAGGTCTCAGGGTTAGGTTTCTTGTGGGAGGTTTCTTGTGGTCGGGCCTCCACTCTTCAGCCTCGAGAGGCCTGCGATCGGTCTGCTGCCCGAGTTGGCCCCCCAAAAGCTGGCATCAGTCTGCCGCGGCTTTGAGCGCACATCGAGTGGCTCCTTGACTGAATCCCCCCCCAGAAAAAAAAAGGTTTTGAGCACCTATGCATCGAGCAACCTTCGCGGCCATGCCTGGTCGTTCTGTCGTCGGAATAACAACCATATATATATACATATATATATATGTATGTATACCTTTCTCTCTATATATATATATATATCAGGGAGGTCCAGGGAGTGAAGAGGGTCGAGAAGTGTGGTGACGTCCAGGGAGTGAGCGAGCCACTTCACCCGAGGGCCTGGTCGCTCCGCGCGCCGCCTGCCCCTCCCCCCTCTTGGCCACCCCTCTCGCCTCGGGGGGCGCCGCGGCAGCAGGGCCTCTCTGGCCCGGGGCTGCGCTCCTGCTCCCGAAGCCCTGCCGTGCGGCTGGGCCATCGGTTGGAACCCTCTGCGCCGTGCGTCCCGTCCGTGCGCCGTCGGTCCCGTCCGTGTGTGCGTGTGTTTGTTTTTTTTAGTCCCGTCTGTGTTGGTTTGCGTGTGTGTGTGTGTGTGTTTTCCCCCCTGTGTGCTTGTTTTTTTTGTGTTTTTTACGCTGTTTGTTTTTTCTTGCTGTCGTTTTCTGGTTCATGGTTTTGCCGATCGGCGCGGGCCCTGGCCCCCCCCCCCCCCACCCCATGGAGCAGGTCTTGGCTGCTTTCGGCGCCTTTTTGGGGCAGGCGGAGACTCCCCCCTAGGGCGCACTGTTCCGAGCAGTCGCATGACGCCGAGGTCTGGAGCCAGACCCCCCCCCCCTCCCTCCCCCCACCCCTTCCGCCAATTCTCGAAACGCCGAACAGGAGAACGTTCACCTTCTTCTCCCCGGTCCTCCCCTCCCTGCCCTCCCGCCTCTGCTCTCCGTCCGCGCGCCCGTTTTGGTGCACCCCTCGCGCGGATCGCGGCCCCAAATGGAGCCCCGCCTGGGGCGTTCCAGAAAGGGCCTTGCTTGCCTTCGAGGATCGAAGGAGCTGTCCTCTTCCGCGGCGGAAGGGCGGCGGAAGGTCGGCGGAAGTAACACGACGGCGACTCCGGCGGCGGAAGCCTGCGGAAGGGCAGTGTACGGTGGCAGAAGTAAAGGAGGAGGAGGAGGAGGAGGAGGAGGAGGAGGAGGAGGAGGAGGAGGAGGAGGAGGATAGGAGGAGGAGGAGGAGGAGGAGGAGGAGGAGGAGGAGGAGGAGGCCCCCAAGAGATGAATACGTTTCTGGGTTCAGGGTTTCCGAAATCCGCGATATGCTCCCAGCGAGGTCGTTCGCGTGCGCTGCCCCGGCGATCTCGGCACAGCCCTCACGCGGCATCGTCAGCGAGGGCGCTCACACGTGCCGCCGAGCCCATCTCGGCACATCCTTCCGCACGGATCGGGGCCCCACGAGGAGCGCTCCTCTTAGGGTCTCCTCTTAGGGGTCTTCGGGGCCGTCTGTGAGTCTTGCTGGGACCCTCGACGGACTCTCTTGGGCATTCTCCTCGGAGCCAACCTGAGACCCAAAGTCAGTCGGCAGCGCAAGGGCGAGAAGGTGGCAATCGATGAGCAGCCATATGTTTTTGAAGGATGCTGGCGTCTCGGGGTGTCCTCCTGGGGGCTCTGTACTGGATCCTGGTGTTTTTCCTCGAGCTCGGAATCTGGGGGCCGTGATCGAGTTTTTGGCAATCAATGATGGGCCTGTTTTCCATTACCACGACCATGACTTTGAGGAGAATGGAGGTGGAGGATGAGCAGGAGGAAGACGAGGAGGAGGTGGAGGACCAGCGGAAACCCAAGAGGCATCAACGATGATGGAATTAACCCTGCCTCCACGCTCCCTCTTCATAGGTCCTTGCAACGGTTCATTTCCATTGAGGGAACTGCTTCGTTGGAAGAGAACAGCTTGAAGATCCGGAAGCGTGCCACAGCATTGTTCTCGGGATTTCAACGCCATGTGTCAACCTGACTGCTGCGTCTTGACGATTCAGAATCGTGCCAGAAAGCCATTTCTGGGACTTCAACACAGCGAATCAACATAATTGTTACACCCGCATCATTCTTCCCAAACACCGTTTCTGGTACGTTGACCATAGGAATCCGTGAAACACTTGCAAATTCTTAAAACGAATGTCCGCGGCGCTAAGGCCCGAGCCACAGTTTGAAAGGAACCGCCCTCAATCCGTGAAGCTCTTGCAATTGTTACAACGAATGTGCGCGGCGCTAAGGCGATAACCACATTTTGAAAAAAAAACGGATGTGCGCGGCGCTAAGGCGAGAGCCACATTTTGAAAACCACCTGCCCTCAATTCGTGAAGCTTTCGTGAGTTTTTAAGACGTATGTGCACGGCGCTCAGTCGAGAGCCAAATTTTGAAAACGACCCGCCCTCCATTCGTGACACACTTGCAAATCTTGAAAACGAATTTACGCAGCGCTAAGGCGAGAGCCACATGTTGAAGACCACCCGCCTTCAATCCGTGAAGCTCTTGCAATGTTTTAAGACGAATGTGCTCGGCGCTAAGGCGAGAGCCACATTTCGAAAGCAACCCGCCCTCTATGTGTGAAACCGTTGTCACTTTTTAAGCTTCAGAGGCAGAAGTGGTGAGCAAGTCTCAGGCGAAACGCCCAGCTCGCCTGAAAAACTGGCTTCGGGTTGACTGGGAGGATGGTGGTTATGGTGGGAAATAAGCCCACCAATCAAATTTGACCTTTGACGGCAAGCAGTCCCTGGGAATGGGGTCGGGAAGTCTGGGGCCGCGCACTGACGGAGAGTCGCGTCGTCGGAGGTCCGGGCGCGGTGCGTTCCGATAGGGGCCGCGCTTCCTCGAGGACGGCTCGAGAGGGGTGGCGCCTCGTGAGGTTGGTCGTCGTAGTCGTCGTGGTCGTGGTCGTCGACGTCATTGTCGTCGTCTTCGACGTTGTCGTGGTCGTGGTCGTCGTCGCCGTCGTCGTCGTCGTCGTCGTCGTCTTGGTCGTCGTCGTCGTCGTCGTCGTCGTCGCCGTCGTCCTCGTCGTCGTCGTCGTCGTCGGGGCTCGAGGGGGGTGGTGCCTCTTTTCCTGCAGAAGGCGACTCTGGCGGAGCCGGTGCGTCGCCGCAGATGCAATACCTGGCCCCTTGCACACAAGCCTCGAAAAAGAAAGAACGCCATAAACATAAACTTTTGGCGCTCCGGGCCGGTTTCTTGTATCCGCGCCTGGGCCCCCCCCCCCCCAAGCGGCGCCTCCAGCGCCGCCCCTGGCGCGCTCCGCGCGCCAGGGAAGGTGGCCCAGCGCAGATCCAAGAAATCCGCGAGGAGCAACAAAAGTTTATGATTCTGGCGTTTTGTCTTACTCTATGTACGTGGCCGCAGGTGCAATACATGACCCCTTGCAGACAAGCTGCTCTGGCACTGGGATCAGCGCGGGGGTCGCTGAGGGTATAGGGGGGTTAGCAGTGGAAGCCATGGATATCTTGCCTGACCTAGCTTATAGGTGCATTACCGAGTCCCCAATTTGCTCAGGATGCTTTGGAGGACCCCGCTGAATGGGCAGAGCCCCCCGAGAGCCGGGATCGCGAACCCCCCGAAGCCACCTGGGATACTCGCAGCCAACTCGTGTGCCAGGTTCTTGGCCAGCTCCAGACCACCCTCGTCTCCGCCGATGGGCCCCCGCCTCCCCCCGGCGCCGCCCGCGCCGATCCCGGCAGCACCGTCGGCGGCCTGGGGCTCCAGCAGGCACGGCGCCGACGCCCGGCGGGGGCCCCCCGCCCCATCGGCCGCAGGCCGGCGTGGCTGGCGCCCCCGCGCCCAGCCCGGAGCCCGCCGCCTCGCCGGACCAGGTGGAGGTCATCTCCTGAGGGCTGCCCGGCGCGGGCCCGCTCGGCGGCCCCCGCCACCCGCAGGCGGTATGAGCGTGCGCCGGTCCGCGAAAGGTCCTCGCGGAGCCCGGAGGAGGGCCACGCCTGGTGGGCACATATGTCTTGGTTCACCACCACTGCCAGGATAGGTAGGACGGGGGAGGAGGTCCTCCTCCTCCTCCTCCTCCTCCTGCTCCTTCTCCTCCTCCTCCTCCTCCTCCTCCTTTACAATTACACAATATGCAAATACTCTCCCATGACCCCTGATGGCGTCCCGAAGACATCCGACACCCCCCCGCGTATTGTTTTTTACATAGGATTCCCGGGAAACGGGTTTTCGCTTGCGTTTTTTTTCAAAATGCTGCTCTCGCTGAGGCGCCGGCCTCATTTCTGCTCCCGAATCGTTCCGAATCGTGCTCCCGCTGCAGCGTGGGCCTCATTTTCGGATCGGTGTTTGGCCTCCGTCGTTCAGGATGGCGTTCTCGCCCCAGCGCGGGCCTCTTTCTCGCGCGCCCATCCGCCCGCCACCACCGCGCCGCACCACCACCACCACCACCACCACCACCACCACCACCACCACACCCACCACACCACCACACACCAGCACCACCACCACCACCACCACCACCACCACCACCACCACCACCACCAACACACACCACAACCACAACCACGCACACACGCACGCACGCACGCACGCGCACCACCACCCACTACGCACGCGCGCGCGGAGCCACAGGTCCGCTACGACACGCGTCCGCGGATAGAGAAAATCAGCGCCATGGTAAGGGATGGGAGGAAGGGGTAGGTCGTCAGATATGACGCGAGCGCACCTAGCTTGTCCCTCCCCTCCTCCTCCTCCCCTCCCCCTCCTCCTCCTTCCTCCTCCTCCCTCCTCCTCCTCCTCCTCCTTCCTCCCCTCCTCCTCCTCCTCCCTCCTCCTCCTCCTCCTCCCTCCTCCTTCTCCTCCTCCTCCTCCTCCTCCTCCTCCTCCTCCCCCTCCTCCCCCTCCTCCCTCCTACCATTGGTAGCGGTCGTGGGAAATGGACCCATCAACGCCGAGGCGACGGCGGCCCTCTCGGGGTTCGAGGTTCGAGGTTTCTGGTCGCGTTTCTCAGTCGGCCCGCCCGTGCCTTGCCCGCGTTGCTCCGTCGGCCCGCCCCGCTGTGCGAATCAGAGATGCGGGGGCCCGCGCTGCCACGCTGGCGCATAGCCTGGCAGGTTGGCCCACCTGTTGTTCGCGGCACTGCTGCATTCTTGCGCTCCCCTGAGCGTGGTGCCCAGTTGAGGCTGCTGGTCGCTTTCGTAGGCTCTCGGTGGTCTTCCAGCCCCGGGATGGTTTCCAGCAGCTGCGCCCTCGCCGAGAGCGTTCCGGAAGTGCCCGGATCGTCCAGGACGGCCGCTGGAGACCCGAGCTCTGGCCCGACAGCCAGACGTACGGGGACGCCGGAGGAGGGCCGCCGGCGGGACAGCGGCGGCCGCTGGCTCCCCCGACCTCCGACGAGATGTTTCCCGAGTGCGGCAGGTTTGCGTCGTGCCGACCAGCGGCGACCCCACCGCGCGGGTCGGGCAAAAGGGGGGGAATAGGGAGAGGGGGGGGTTACGAAATTTGCTGCATGCCGCCGGTTTCGGCCCCACCGAGGGGCCCATTCCTCGATACATAGCCGCCTCCGGCGCTGGGAGGCGCCGGGAAAATCAGCTACGTGAGCTGATTCTCAAACCCCCCCTTTGCTATCCCCCCCTTTCGCCCGACCCGAACCGCGCGCGTTCAAGGTTGAACGCCGCCCGTGGCCCAGAATCGGCCCGTCGTTGAACGATCCCGCGTTCACGGAGCGTCCGATCGTTCAAGTTTGAACGATCCCTGTGGCGTCGGGAACCAATGCCGGGGTCGACACGACGCGAACTTGTCGTAGTGTTTCGCCGGAGACTTCTCACCATGGTCAGAGGTGGCCGCAGAAGAATATCCCACAGAGGGGGCGGGGAGCCCGGGACCGCAGCGCCCCAGATCGCCCTGGCCTGCAGCCGTTTTGCCCGGGAGTTTTCCTCACAGTGTATTCAGGGATCGCGATCTCGCCTCAATTCGAAGAATAATCGAGTTGACCCAAAAGGGGGTCCAGCGACAAGGGGGTGGTGCAATAGATTTGATGCAATAGGATTGTGGGGTTGCAATACATTTGGGGCGTGCAGTACATTCCGGGGCGTAGATGTGTTGCTAGATTTTCGCGTGCAATGCACTATTTGCAATACAGTGCAATACAATTCTCGGGCGCAGTACGTCGCAATGCAATTGCCCCAAATCTATTGCACCACCCCCTTTTCAGCTGGACCCCCGTTTTGGGTCACAAAAAACAGCAACGCCATAAACAAACATGTTTCGCTAAGTGTTGCTAAGGCCTTCTTGTCTGTGCCGCCGACCCTGGACGACGACCCCCTCGATGGAAGAGGCATTCGGGAAGGTCGAGACCAGACGGTCCCAAGGGTGCCCAAGAGGCTGCACGAGGCCTCCAACAGGTGCACAAGAGCACCCACGAAGTTTCGGGGTGTCTGGATTTGTTCTGGCTGGATACTCTGGAATGCCCATCTTGAGCCAATCCCATCATGACATCGATCCCGTAGTACAGTCGGCGCGCATTTGCAGGTCGACCCTGCACAATCAAGGGTACTATTGTGTCATGTCCATCCCTTCTCATGTCCTCTGCGTGTTCGGACCAACGGTGCCCTTTTGTCCTGTGGCTCTGTGTCTGCCGGAGACCATGCTACCGTCGGAAGGGTCTCGTGTCCTGCCGCGTGTCCTCTCGTGTGAGCTCCGACTGCAGGCCAGGCCGGGGCAAAGTTGCTCGTGGCGCTGCCCGAGCTCGGAGGCGGCCAAGAGGGGGGTGATGACTAGGGGGGGGGGTTGGACATCATGGCGTGGGTCATGCTATTTCCCCAGATTTCGTGGCGCCTCTTCTTGTTCCATTGCGTTCCTGCCCCCCCCCCCACCCGGGCCGCGCACGTGCCGCCGGCCATGATTTGCGCCCCCCCCCTCTTGGACGCCCCTCGGGCCGGACGAAAGGGGGGGATAGGGAAAGGGGGGGTTACGAAACCTGCCTCATGCGGCCGGTTTCGGCCCCGCCGCGGGGCCCGTTCCTCGATACATGGGCGCCTCCGGCGCCGGGAGGCGCCGGGAAAATCAGCTATCCCCGCCTTTGGCCTGGTCCGAGCCCCCCTCTGGGCCGCCCCCGACGCGCAGCCCTCCCCGCCCCCGCCCCCGGCGGCGCGACCGCAGGCCCGCCCGGGGCCGCCGCCGGGCCCCGCGCGCCGTGCTCGCCGAGGCTCGGAGGGCACCGACCCTGGGCCGACGGCGACGACGACGACGACGAGGAGGACGACGACGACCAGGAGGACGACGACGACGACGACGACGACGACGACGACGACGACGACGACGACGACGACGAGGACGACGAGGACGACGACCAGGACGAGGACGACGACGACGAGGACGAGGACGAACACCACGACGAGCACGACGGCGACGACGCCGACGACCACGAGGCCGAAGACGACGGCGGCGACGACGAGCACGACGCTGGCGACGACGCCGACGGCGGCGACGACGACGGCGGCGACGAGTGCGTGGCCAGGCCGATCCTGGGCGCAGGGTCGGCGCATGCGCCTTCCTGCGCAGGAGCCAGGACGGCGTATACACACCGACCCCAGGCCCAGGCGGGGCCTCGTGCAGGTGTGCTAGGATCGGCGCGGGGGTTGCTCAGGGGATAGAGGCTATCATCAATTCGGGCGTGTCCCCCTACAGGGAGATTTTCGACGAGAAATAAAGGTACCCCCAAAATCCCCCAAAAAGGTTAGAAAGTATTCAAAACATAGTCCCCAGACTGTTTCGCTTATTTGTTTGATTATTGGTGCGGTATTTTTCCCAACCATCCTGTGGTGTTGGGTCCTCGTTTTGAAGAGACGGTGCCCCGCGTTCCTCTCCTCCTCCTCCTCCCCCTCCTCCCTCTTCCCATCGTCGTCATCATCATCATCATCATCATCATCGTCGTCGTCCTGGTCGTCGTCGTCGTCGTCGTCGTCGTCGTCGTCGTCGTCGTCGTCGTCGTTGTCATCATCATCATCATCATCATCATCATCATCATCATCATCATCATCATCATCATCATCATCATCATCATCATCGTCATCATCATCGTTATCGTCACCCACGCCCATTTCGGCACACTCCTCATACGTTTCGTGGCCCCATAGGGAGCTCCACCGAAGGCCAAAGTGGCAGGGGGCGCATGCCTCCTCATTACCCATTTCGGCACACCCCTCAGACGTTTCGTGGCCCCATAGGGGGCTCCACCGAAGGCCCCAGTGGCAGGGTCCGCATGCCTCCCACCACCCATTTCGGCACACCCCTCACACGTTTCGTGGCCCCATAGGGAGCTCCACCGAAGGCCGCAGTGGCAGGGTCCGCATGCTCCCCACCACCCATTTCGGCACACCCCTCACACGTTTCGTGGCCCCATAGGGAGCTCCACCGAAGGCCCCAGTGGCAGGGTTCGCATGCCCCCCCACCACCCATTTCGGCACACCCCTCACACGTTTCGTGGCCCCATAGGGAGCTCCACCGAAGGCCCCAGTGGCAGGGTTCGCATGCCTCCCCACCACCCATTTCGGCACACCCCTCACACGTTTCGTGGCCCCATAGGGAGCTCCACCGAAGGCCCCAGTGGCAGGGTTCGCATGCCTCCCCACCACCCATTTCGGCACACCCTTCCCACGTTTCGTGGCCCCATAGGGAGCTCCACCGAAGGCCCCAGTGGCAGGGTTCGCATGCCTCCCCACCACCCATTTCGGCACACCCGTCACATGTTTCGTGGTCCCATAGGGAGCTCCACCGAAGGCCCTAGTGGCAGGGTCCGCATGCCTCCCCACCACCTATTTCGGCACACCCCTCACACGTTTCGTGGCCCCATAGGGAGCTCCACCGAAGGCCCCAGTGGCAGGGTCCGCAT